ATTGCCATTCAACGTGGCAATGCTGCCAGTCTTCTGGGAACGTTCCCCTGTGATAGTGATGCGGACGAATACTTTGACGCCTAAATTAAGGCTATAATTTTTGTTGTTTTCTTTTTTTTACTTTCTTTTTATTTAATAGTTTAGTTGTAGTTAACTTTAGGTACAGTATTAAAATCGTATTTTTAATCGCCGCCAAGTGCTTGAGAACAGGACTGCTAAGTGCAAAGTTAGGTTAGGTGCTAGGTCAGGTTATTCTCCGGGTTTTTCGGGTGGTGTAAAATATTATTAGACTAACATAACATAACGTCACGCCTTTTGTCCCTGAAGGGGTAGGCAGACGTGCACATTACGGCTTCTTAAAATAAATGCTTTGCCATTGAATAAACGGACAATTAATTAAATGAGTTCTCATCAGTTCTCAACCCCACATCTTCAACACAAAACCCAGTACCACATACATACTGACATATCATACAATGAATTCAGGTTAATCTCTCATTACCATACAGTTTTGGTTTCATCCAGTTTCCCATAAATGTTCACATAACGGCTAGACATGTTACAACTTGTTTTTCTGCTGATACCACTTTATGAAACAGTTATAGCGTGAAGGACGCGCATGTCCTTCGTAAGGTCAGGTGCGTACGCGCAAGTCAACGCTGGCTGTGAAATAGTTTATAGGAAACTTGTTTTTGAAGCTTTTTGCTTTTGTTGTTCAGATTTGCAACTGGACTACAAATATTTTTAAGACATTATTTTACCTGATTTTCTTGAATTGATAATCTAATCTTAATGTTCACGACCTCCTTTCAATTATCCTACACTAGCTTTTACCCGCAGCTTCGCTCGCGTCACAAAAGGATAAAAAGTAGCCTATGTGACATATACGAATACACACAGCGCCATCTATACCTATTCCTATGTTTTCCCTCGGGAATATCAAATTTTTCCGTGATAAAAAGTACCCTATTATTTATTCCGGCCTTCTAACTTTAGGTCTGCAAAATTTCAAAGCAATCGGTTTAGTAATTAAGGCGTGAAAACGGAACAAACTCACTTTCCGATTTATAATATAATATAGTAAGGATAAGGATTAGTCTCTTTATTATGCGAACCGGTCACAAACGATACACCAATCCACTTTAATCACAACAACACAGTAACTCGATATTAATAAAAAAAAACTTAACTGTCATATCTCTCTCACTTTACATTAGCCCTCTAATGCTACATGAAACCACCATAAGAATATTTACCTATTACCAAAGAACTTATCAATAATCATTGACCTACAATTTCCATACACTCATATCACCTGGTAACTATGTTGGCTGTGTACTAAACCTGGTTTATCTAATATAACTACTATGTTAGCTGTAAACCTGGTCTATTTATAACAAATCTGACCCACCTCAGTGCGACACGGAAGTGTTAACTAGCAGATAAGCGTTATCGGGAAGCAATAACCTCAATCACTTGAAGTACATCTGTATACAAATAGTAGCACATAGAGTACAGACATATACGACAAGTATAGTCTTTAAAATTATCTTAAAAGTAGATACAGTACATATTATTTATATGTGGAAATTACGTTTCACCAAAACACGCGGTGAACATTACTTTCAAAATAAATAATTATCTAAATAATTCACCTCAACTCAAATGCATTTTTATTTCAATTAAACCATAATTTGGTACTTTTGAAACGTTAACAAAAATAAAATAAATAATAGTCTGTCAGTCTGCCCGTCGGTAAAGCAAGGCGCTCGTTTCAAAAAGTGGATTCGAATGGAGAAGAACAAGAAAGAATCCCCACATACGTTACTCTTTTAAAAAAAGGCTTTTTTACAATGTCTCTCATACATATTCCAACAAAATATTTATTTAAGTATTTATTTATTTATTTAATTCAACAACACATCCTAACAGGTTACACCCAATGCGATAATGTTGTCAATTAATATAAAAACTTATAATTAACATTAATTAAAAAAAAACTTAAATAAAAACTTAATATACCTACTACGGTTCTCTGGAACAGACACCTAAGTAATATTATGATGTCGATTGATACCCTTAATAATGGCAAGTACATACATACGTAGCAATTTTATCAATTTTTTCTAACGTCGATAATAATTAATTATAGCATCTCATGCTTCTGCTCCGCCATTGAAGTATACTTTATTTTATACCACGACGGTGGCAAAAATGCACACGGCCCACCTGATGGTAAGCGGTTACCGCCTATGTACGCTTGCAACTATACTCTAGATGACTAGACAAATGACATTTAAAACGCTATTCGAGCAAGTGAATACAAAAGTCAATGTATGGTCTTGACATAATTTGTCGAATGTCAATGTCAAATTCCATACGTTAATTTTTAAATTCAATAGTTCGGTTGGTGAAATGTCATTTTTGTCTAGGACCTATGTATGTGGGACTTGTTACTGTATGTTGTAGGACTTATAAGTTTGGTTGGAATTGGTGATTGACTAACGTAAATCACTTTATACTATTTCCAGGTCAATCTTGTATAGTTTTAATTATAATGACTTACGGCGTGTACATGTTCCCATTAAAATAGTAAGTCAACGACTTAACAGTGATTGCAAGTTTATGGGGCTTTATATGTGTTAAAGTTTTAGAGCTATACACTACTTATATGGACTAAAAGTTATACGAAAATCAAAATTTAAACAATCATCATCGTAAAGTTTAAGTTGTTGGTTTATTTTAACCGCTCGTAAAAAGAATTGACACGTTGCAAGTTGCTGAAGTTTTTGTGACGTTTTTTAATGGAGGAAAACGTCTTAAAATTTGATTTTATTACTTTACTTTTCTCTTGATTCATTAAAATCTATATTATTATTTCCTACAATTCACTTGGGGTCGGACCAATATGTCTTCTCCATTCTCCCTCATCAAAGATCATTAAAAAGTTGTCTCATTACAAACCACAACCAACGAAAAGTGCAAACAATCTAAATTACAAATCCCTCATAAAAACTAAACGCAGTTCATTGGCCCATTGCATCTGATAATGAGCGCCTTACACTGCGCACGCGCATGGGCGCCGTCATGAATCACTCACTGTGCGGTGACCTTGCTGCTCTATTTAACTGTTTGTTTGTTTACATCTCGAAAACTTCCGGTATGCAGCACACTTTTACTGTCTCTGATTTTTCTTAACTGTTATAGTTTTGAAGAGCTCTGCAGTTTGTGCGAGTAGGTAGATGGTCAGTATGTTTTTTCATGGTACGGTTATTTTATTGGCAGGTAGATTAGTTATTTATTATTGCGATTAATTAGCGACCTTGTTTAGTGTTGTGGTGAAGCAAATAAATGAAAATTCATGTGTCATGAGAAAACAATATTTTGTTAGTTGTATCCATTGGTATTTGTATATGAAATCGACTGACTATGTTATCTGTTACTAAAGCTAGAGATTTTTGGAAACAAATTGCGTAAAATTGTGCACCATAAACTTGTCATTTTCTCTCTAAAGTAAGACCATTAATCATCACAAAATAGGCAGAAATCACGAAAGCTTTATAATAAATGATTGTAGAACGCATTACTCCTTGCGCCGGCGCACCCATTGTGCGGTGTTGTAACTCCGTAACACGTGCGCCGGAGTCGACAGTCGCGATAGCTGATTGCGTGCACTTTATTATGGTAATGGTACACTCATTGTAAACTATATAAGGATTGATAGATTAAAATAGAAAATTTTATAAGACAATTAGTAGCATTGACTTTAAAGGTTTATAAATAGCTTCTATATAGTAATGCACATAAAACCTTCCCTCTTCCGTTACTGAGTTGCTGAGTGACTACACTACAAGACAATGCACAGATAAAAGTACTGGACGACTGGACGTATGAAAATCCAAGTTGACATGATAGGTAAGTACTATCGACAAAGTTTACGGTGGTACACTTTTTAAACAAAATCATGTGGGAAACTCGAATGCAATCGAATATCGCCTAATGATATGGTCGACCGCCAACTTTTTCGATTGTACTTACATATAAGTACTTTCATGGCCAGCGTGAGAGACAACTGATCAATCCCCAAGCGGTAACCGGTGACCACTCTACTCACTCCATTATACACCTTATGTCCGATGTTTAGAAACTACCTTTGTATGAACAAATTTTGGATTTTCGGTACGATATATCAAGTAATGAGAGAGTTTCACAAAATTATCGAACTAATCATAAGGGAGCATGAAGTGAGAGGCAATAAAAGTTATTTTAGAAGGATATAGTAGCCAGGTTTAGCTATGAAACGCTCCCATATGAAGTAAGCTTTTGTTAAATATATTCTTCTTTGAATCATCCAGATGTAAGGAATTCATTTTTTGTTGTTCTTAAACACAGAAAAAACTTTAAACAAAAATACAAGACTGTGATTGAGTCTCGTAAAATTTTACGCGGTGACATTTTTTGCCAAGTTCTGGAGATAAGACGCGACATAAAACAAACCATGGCTCATGCGCTATCCGCTTCACAATCTGTAACTGGCCTCTATGGACGCTGCAAACCAAATTTTAGAAATCTGACGTTCTGGATACAAAAATCTATTTAGATATTGAATTTAGGCCTTTGGGCAAAAAGTTAGACCATATTTTCAACCTGATAGTGATGAGTTTTCCTAAGCACATTTGACTTTTGCTAAGCACTGGAACAGTTATAAATGATGATTATATGAGAGAATGAAATATAGTTAAATATATTATAATATGAGAGACTGAGATAGTCAAAATTACTTTTTTCAAAAATCTATAAAAGGAAATAAATCTTGAAACGCATTTTTCCGTTATCTACGCGAACAGAGACTAAAGAACACTATGAATTATTTTAACCTTAATTTCTAAGCTAACAATTCAAATTCAGTGCGAAAGATAATAACACAATACACCCCTAGTTGCTACGTAGTCGGTTAAATGCGGGCGACTATCGCGGCTCGCCATCTCGGGCCGGGCAAAATGTCCGATACCACAGTACCTAAGTACCTACCCGGTTATACCCAGTTATCCGGGGGAAATCTCGTAAAATGCACACGATGGACTAGGGACCCATGTACTTGAGTTGTGCTATTTTTACCCTTCTACCCTTGTAGTTGATGGGCGATAGTTTTTGATAACAATTTATGATATGGATGTAGGTAGAATGGTACTTATTGTGTAGGTATGTACCTATCCGTCTGAAGAGAATGAATGATATTTTATGTGAAATGGATTTATGGATGTTATAAAACCGCTGATAATTATTATTTGAATTGGTTTATATAAAACTATAACTTGAAGTGTTCTTGAAAATGCTTTTGTAAATTTAATTTATATTTTCTAAAGAGACGTATCCTCCTATCCTGTACCAACTATTAATAGGTATATTTCCGACTCCTTATCCTATCTACAGATCTACTCTTCGTCCAATGAGGAACCTTTAAAACTTTACACTCAAACAAACATCCCGATCGTAAAATCCTCAGCAACACAATGAGTGCAATCATTCCATTACTTTAATTGTTGTCTATCCGTTTGTCACCACTCTCCAGTAAGTCAACTAACTAGTTAACGATCTGTACCCAAGACATCAAATTTTGTTTTGTTTACAGATGACAAAAAGAAAAAAATATAGGGTCTCAGTTTGAGCTGTAGGTGTGTGTGTATGTATGTATATATGTATGTATGTGTATGTTGTGCGCGATTGTCTAGCGATTGGCTGAACCGATTCCGATGCGGTTTTCAGTAAAGTGTTTGTTACACTTGGGAGAAGCTTTAGTATGTCGTGGTAACGGGTAACCGGGGCTCCGGCTCGACGTGCAGGAGAAGGAACGGGGTGGTTTTTAGTCAGTAAGAGTCTGACACTCCCTTCCGCCTCACCCAGGCGGCCGCAGTCATTCGATGATTTTACCCCCTTAAAAAAAAAAGTATGTTAGTATAAAAAAAGACAGGTATGAAGATATTTTTGGAGAGAATTAACAATGCGTTTGGTAATAATAATTATTTTGACTGGTCTAGCAGACAAAGTCAAAACCACTATTCGAAGTCCCAATTTTTGCTAGTTGAAAGCTCAATAGTAAAAGGAGACCCAACTTTGATTTTTGGTGCACTTAGGTGACTTCGGTAAATGCCTGTTCTAAGGCACCGTTCAATAAATCAAAGACATCCTAATCAAGTAAACAATATACCATATAAGTAGGTATATATACGTGCTAACACATAATAAATATCTCCCTTACTTCTCAATGTCTTAAAACATGTTTTCACTTTTATAATCCAGTAGTTATATTGTTAGGAAGTTGCGGTCTGCTACAGTAACTCTAGACCAGTCGCAAGGCTGCCACCAAGGTCACTGCCGGTGACCGGTTCGTAGCTGGCGCTAAGATAAAGATGCTCCCATTGTTGAGGTGTAAATAAAAAAACTTGGGTCTTATGTCACATACAGAATCTAGTTAGTACCTAGGTAATGATGTGTGCTAAGGACACGCGATAATGGAATAAAATTGACGTACAGATATGCGAATATAATAACAGCAATGGGACGATCATGGCTGAAAATAAATAAAATAAAATATTTGGTTTTGAGTAGTTAAATATTTAAACTTTTAAAAATTTCCGACCTCTTACTGCTTTTAAACCAAAAATACCTGTGATACACACGTATACCAATATTACGTGATCTAGATTTTACATTTCAAAACAAATTATTTTACTGCAGTATTTATCGTCTTTGCTAATATTGACATTATTCTTTTTTCTTTCCAGCGTGTCCGAACATTCACAACCTCTCTCGATGAGCTCGCGGGTCGCGTACAAGCTGCCGAAGCTGCACGCTCCTCATGGCGCGGGCCTGGCGACGCAAGGGATGCACGCGCGCAGCTCGATGCGGTGTCCCGCGCACGCGCACAGCTGCCTCCGCTTAGGAGACTGGCTGACGAGCTCCACGCTCAGGCTCAGCAGTTAGCACGAGACAAGATACAACTGCCTGATCATCTACTTGCAAGATTGGATGATTTGAATACCAGGTAATTTTCGCTTTGAAATTATAATTGTTCTTCTCGAAATGTAGGTCTAGTGATGATTGTTTGGTTTTGCTTGAATTAGGGACATTTGGAGAGCATTACCATTTTACATTAAATGAGGAGGAATAAATAAAAATAAGTAACATTAAACTATCCTTAACTCATTATTACCAATCGCATGTATGAATATTTATCGAACTAATACAAATATTCGTATTCGTTCCTAGTTTCAAAATATTATCTCCAGTCAATTGCATTGATCTCGATAATGTCTCAATAGATATAAATCAGTACGTGATCAGAACCCATTGAAAAGTTAGATAAGTCACGAACAGACAGCTACAGCGTAAATATTAATATGTGCGGAATGTTAAACATTAGCACGCTCGTTGAAAGTCAATCTGTAGTTTATATTCATTATAAGGACTTGCCTGTCAACCTACATTCTTATGCCTACTTAGGTACTAATGATATGGTACTTACAAAGTATATTCGTCCTATAATGGACATGTAATTGCCGTTTTACGAGCATATTACTTACACGACAGGGAGTTTAGAATCGTCAAGTTTTCAACGATACAATATGCTATCATAATTTAATACCTATAGTATGATTTCGTCGCGGAGAACCTAACGGGTAACCGGGGCTCCGGCTCGACGTGCAGGAGAAGGAACGGGGTGGTTTTTAGTCAGTAAGACTCTAACACTCCCTTCCGCCTCACCCAGGCGGGAGCAGTCAATCGATGATTTTCCCCCTTAAAAAAAAAATAGTATGATTTCGCATTAACTTCTTCATAGGCACCTACATAATTATGTGAAAACTTAAGGATTTCTCCTTGATTTGCTTAGTTTTAGTAATCGCAATCGGTTTACAGATAAAAATTTTACCTTTTACCTAACCAAGCACCTAATCTAACTGACCTTTAGAAATTAAAGATATTATAAATATTCTATTCTATACCAATATACGAAAACAGAATCATAATCATCTCCTATGACATTCCAGGGTGTCTGGCCTGGTCTCCGGCGGTGAGGAACGCGTGCGTCAACTAGCCGGTGTTGCAAGAGATGGTGGGGCGGGCGCAGCGCAAGGCTTCCTCGCTGGCTCCGTGGAGATACCCTGGGAGAGAGCTGTCACTCCTGCCAATGTGCCCTACTACATCAAGTAAGTAGTATATCATCATCATAATTATTAGAGCCATAAAGCGTCCACTGTTTTATCGTACCCTACTGAGCACAGACCTACCCAATGATTTTTAAATCGGCCGGTTGGAAACATCCTGCATCCTTGCATCTTTATCTAGACAATTTATAATAAGGTTAAGCGAGATAACCGAGTATTAGATCATGCGTTATTCAAAGATGTCACACAATGCATTGTTTGTTTTCTATCAAATTACTCAAAATGTTAATTCTGGAAATGTGATCAATTGATCATACTTTATTACTTTGATTACTATGATATGATAATTTCTTATTAGTCATGTCAAGCACTTTATAATAATGATCATATTTTCAGCCACGAACTGGAAACAACCCACTGGGACCACCCGAAGATGATCGAGCTGATGAACTCTCTAGCTGACTTGAACGAGGTCCGCTTCTCAGCGTACAGGACCGCACTCAAACTGAGGACTGTGCAGAAAGCACTCTGCAGTAAGTAGACTATTTTTCTTTAGACTTTCAAAGTTGATGCATAGCTCTGCGGTATTGGTGTGGGCTTCCTCTCCTTCATTCAAATCTGCATGTCTTGTATTTAAGATCTACTTATGTCTACTGGGATAAAAATTAACCAAAATAAGTATACCGAGAAAAGCTCTACTATAGTCCATCTGTTTAGGTAATTAACTAAAGGTAAACAAAGAAAACCACGTGACACAGAGATACTTAACCTACTATTACTTCAAATTTTTCTCGTGTTTTAATTTTAACTAAATTCACTTTAAAATCGTTCATTTGTCATACACACACATACAAGTACAAATGCCTAAATCGTACAAGAGCCTAGCCTATGGGTCTATATCATTATCATGTTTAAATAGAAACTATTCTGAATCTGATGTACGGATTTCTTTCTTGTACGGATATCTGTCTTTGGGCCAAGTTTCTTCAATATATTTGAACACATTAATTACAAACGATGAATAACCTAAACTTAAATAACTTAATAACAAAAACAAAACAAAGAAACAAGTTAAATTCAACAAAATAGGAACGCGAGCGCAAACGACGAGAGAGCTGTCTATGGCGCCTGATTAACCGACTAAACGTAATACACGCTACTTTCATTGTCGCGCTACATCTTCGTTGTACTCTTTAATTTGACAACATTATTTTGCTTCGTTCTTAAAGAAACGTTTTGGATACCTGGGATTTTAGGCTCTTTATGGTGTCTATTGTAATGAAATATTATATTATTTAATAAATATTATTAAATTAATATCCTCAAGCAGATATATTTAATATTTATTAAGAAATAAGTGAAAATGAACAGAAACATAACATTTAATAGAGAAAACTGTCGTAAAAAGGGAAACAATTTTATTTTCTTATGAAGTATTTTGAATCATGGAAATGTCAACTATAAAGAACTCTTTTTATGGTTTGTTTACAAATAGTTAACTACCTAAACAGACGGAGTATAGTTTCCAATCACAGAGGAGAAAGAGTGAGAAAGAGAGTCACTCTTTCTCATAAGCAGCGTGCGCGGTTGCACTAAGCCATTAGCTTCATCTTTCAAAGGTTTTTTTAAAAATACTTTTAAAATCAATCGTTCCAAGGTATGTAAACCTTAATAACTACAGGAATCAATCATTAATTTCCAATTTCTTAATTTCCAGTGCACATGCTGCAACTACCAGCTGCGTTGGAAGCGTTTGACTCTCACGGACTCCGCGCTCAGAATGACCGTCTGATTGACATACCTGACATGATCACTGTTCTCACTTCTTTGTATGAGGTAAGGTCCAAGTTTCTACATTTGTATTATTTAATATTATCTTACGTATTTTAGAATTTGAATTTAAAATAGCTCTTTGTTCTGCCATCAGGTGATTGCAGCAGAAAATCCAAGTCTAGTGAACGTGCCGCTTTGCTTGGACCTGTCGATCAACTGGTTGCTCAACGTGTATGACAGCCAGCGGACCGGACAGATCCGGGTGCTCAGCTTCAAGGTCGGGCTTGTATTGCTATGCAAGGGACATTTGGAAGAAAAGTACAGGTAAGCCAAGAAACATTGGACTCTATTTTAAATGTGATAAGGTCCATGTTTGAGAATGTGTCTACTTAGGAATGAAAGTGGTAACTAATAGGTGCTTTTTAATTTCAGATATCTGTTCCGACTGATCGCAGACCCATCATGCAGGGCCGACCAAAGAAAACTTGGATTATTGTTGCATGATTGTATTCAGGTAAGTTCAGCTCAACGCCTTGAAAATAGTCTGTCATAACTTTAAAAGACAAGGTAGCTAATAATGATGTTTGAACTTCAGGTACCAAGACAACTTGGTGAAGTGGCTGCCTTTGGAGGCTCAAACATAGAACCTTCAGTGAGGAGCTGCTTCGAACAGGCATCCGCTGCCACCAAGGAGGGCAATAAGGGAGGCACTCTTGATAGGAAAGTTGGTAAGTAACTGATCAAGCAGATCAAAAAATCCCTCCATAATTGGTACGAATATTTTCATTAACCAGAAAATACAGTTAATCTTCCAGAAAAAGACAAGGAGAAGGAGGAACCGTCTAAAGACAAGACCTTGGAGCGTGATGCAGACGGTCAGCTTCAGTTCATAGAAGCGTTCCACTTCCTGCAGTGGCTGCAGAAGGAGCCGCAGTCGATGGTGTGGCTGCCAGTCTTGCACCGCCTCGCTGCGGCTGAGACTGCCAAGCATCAGGCCAAGTGCAACATCTGCAAGGAGTACCCGATTATTGGGTTCAGGTAGGAACTTTATATTCATAATAGACCCTGAGACCATTACGATTATGACCCCAAATAACTAAACCAATAGCCTAATAATGGAAACAGACTTCAATCAGTTGTCAGGTGGATATCGTACCGATGTCGTAAAATCCAGAAGGAGCCAGAACTGTAATGGTTAGGTTAAAATTACTAAATTTGACCCAAGAATAAATAATAAAACAAACGGGGTGAGCTAAATAAAACCGTTTAAAAATCTGAACGTTCATAAGTCACAACATGAGTTTGTTTTGTCTTTCAGATACCGTTGCCTGAAATGTTTCAACTTCGACATGTGCCAGAAGTGCTTCTTTAACGGCCGCAAAGCTAAGAACCACAAGCTGACGCATCCTATGCAGGAGTATTGCACTGCTGTAAGTTAACTACCTCTATATATAAAAAATTAGAAATTGAGATCACAGGAAGTGTGATGACTGCTGTACCATGTTTATCGATACTTTTTAGTTTTCCTAATTGCTATTACATTATAGTTATCGCCTGTATAAGGGTTTAATGCAATTTTATGTCAGAAATTCAATATTATTTCTTACATTTACTTTTACTTATTTCTTCTACAGACTACTTCGGGCGAAGATGTGCGTGACTTCACTCGTGCGTTGCGCAATAAGTTCAAGTCAGCTCGCTACTTCAAGAAGCATCCTCGAGTTGGATACCTTCCCGTGCAAACTGTGCTTGAAGGTATATTATTATATTATATTTAAGTTTAAATTCAAGAGATAAAAGTCAAAAAGACAAAAGTAGATAGTTTAAAGCTTAAGAAAACACTTAATGGCGTCATAATAAAAAGGCATCTTAGGTTCACCCATGAAATAAAAAAAAAACAGCTGACAATGATGCCTTTACATCTCTTTAAGTATTCAATATGCCGCAGGAAACGATTTTCGGTCCTTTTTGAAGACAGAGACGATAAGAAGATTTCAACTGTTCAGCAAAGGACTACCCACCCATTAAATACAGTAAAATATGTTAAACATGTGAATGTTGTAATTTCTAGGTGATGCTTTGGAGTCTCCGGCTCCATCTCCTCAACACGGCAGTGCTTCAGGCTCAGCCCTTGGAGGTGATGACATGCATTCACGACTGGAACTGTACGCCACCAGGCTGGCTCAAGTGGAACTCGGAGCCAAATCTGGAGACACTCCTGACAGGTTTGTGAAGTTTTCAATATAGCTCTAAAACTCCACATGACTTTCTGATTAAATTATCTTAATTCATCTAAAAAATTCTTTACCAACAGTGACGAAGAACATCAGCTGATTGCCCAATACTGCGCTTCTCTCAATGGCGGCGGAGAAACTGATGACGCACCACGCTCGCCAGTACAGGTCGTCTCCATCATACATCGCGAGCAGAGACACGAACTTGAGGCTATGATCCGGTAAGATTTTATCGATATTATAAAGATAAAGACATGCCAAATCAGAAAAGAGTAATAAATTGCAAAACACGGTAGTTAACCGAACATATATCAAATTACAGAGAGCTGGAGGAAGAGAATGCCAGTCTCCAAGCTGAATACGAGCGTCTGAAGGCTAAGCAGACACCTGGATCTACTCCTGAGGAGCAGCACGGAGTCAATGATAACAGGAACGCTCCTGTCGACCAGGTATACCCACTACAATATTTTTTATATAACAACTATCTTGTACAAATGTTAGATAAAATGTTTTATCTTAAAGGTATTCCCGAAATTGGTGTTGAAGTTGCAAATAGCGAGACCGATATCAGATGTGACTCTTCATTTCTAAACGCCAACCATTTCTTCAGTAACGTTGTTGTTTTTGACCTCATATTTATGTAGCAGTTGAAGTAGAAACTAAGATAGACGAAATCACCCTACCTAACTTTCACAAAGTTGATAGCATTAAAAATATGTCCTATAGTAGCGGCGTGTACAAGTACAAAATAATACTTAACTACATAATAGTAGATGCAAAACAATCTTAACATTTTATTAGGCAAGAAGTCACACAATACTTAAGCAAATGAACTTGGGTTACAGGACATGATGGCTGAAGCCCGTCTACTAAGGCAGCACAAGGGTCGCTTGGAGGCACGCATGCAGATCCTCGAGGAACATAACCGACAGCTCGAGGCTCAGCTGCAGAGACTGAGGAGACTGCTCGATGAGGCAACTATCAGATCAAATAGCAACCATTATTGTTTTGTAATAAAATCGAAAATCTGTTGAAGATCGCGTAATTTTTTGAAATTTAGTTTTTTAACTAATTCTTATTTTTTATCAATTCCAGCCAGCCCAAGGTTCTCCACCAGCTCGCACGGGCACGCTGCAGACTCGTTCTGTGACTGCTTCGCAACTTGCTACCGATTCTCCGGCAAAAATGCATAATGGACTTTACCACGAGTCGCAAACTAGTAAGTATTTATTTATTTACTGATCTAACTAAGCCCTTTGATAAAGATGGTATACTAAGTATAAACATTATGGGTACTTACATACTAAAAGTACGACAGCACCACAAACATAAAAGAATTGCCAGTCCCGCAATTTGTTTTTTAATAATAATCTATTCCATAAACACCTATCCTTGTCAAAAATTACCCAAGTGTTCCCAAGGTTCTGTTTTGGGTCCAATATTCTGAATAGTCCAGTAGTGTTATAAAAGACGTTTCCTAACGTGGTATCCACATCAGACGGAGGTACTCGCTGGGCGGGCGCGGAGCGGGAGACGTTGGAGCGTCCTCCACCACCGCCGCACCAGGTGCACTCGCTCATGCACTGCGCAGGTCAGGATCCGAGTGGACTTCTCAAACTTCTATAGCACGAGTGACAGGCGATTTGAGTTTTTAGCAGCTATTCTTTTATTGTACTGCTGGTTTCACGCATAGATATATTTCGCAATAATGAAAACGATGTCTACCTCGCACTGAAGATGCTTTGCTAGTTTCTAGAGCTGTTTTTTTCGCAGATGTATTTATAGATGTGTTCGGTTGCAATGTTTCTTTTGGTTGTACACGATGATGCTGTTTTGTTTTTCTTTCGTCGTCTATAGGTTGTTGCATGGTTTTTGAGTGATGCATGTTACTGTCGTCTATTCATCGAATTTTAATAGATAAACTTTAATACTCACGGTTTTTTTTTCTGTTTTCTGCAAACCTAACAGGACGTATACCTTGAGGTAATAATTATTTTGATGTTGTCACGTGGTCGATTGTAATTGAAAGCAGCCTATGTTATGATGTACAGCTTGGCTTAATACTAAATGACTTTCTCATTTACAGATGACCTTGGCCGCGCTGTCGAAGAACTAGTGTCAGTAATGACGGAGGACACACAAAACCAAACATCGAACTCTCCTCCACAATACACCAACGGCAAGCCACCAACCAAAGAGTAGCCCTGACATCGAGCCGACGTACATCGCATGGTGCTGCAGCGGCTGGAGCCATCCGGCCCCCGCCACCTCTACTTAATGATACCTTCGAACTAGCAACACTGTCGAGTCAAACCAAAGAGAACGCTTTAACTCTTTCCTTACTAAAACATCGAAGTATTATAAATTGTACAGTATTTCTACTAATTTTCGACTCATCACTAACAATACCTGCACATGCTGTTTCTACCTTATTATACAAAAGCTCTAACATTCCACACATTCTCTAATCGAGTGGGCTTCGCGGGGAAACATACTAAAAGTAGAAGCCTGTAAGGAACCGGCTATATAGAACTAACAACGATGATCATTATCTAGACTTAGTTCCCTGTAGCGTCGTTTTCGAGACGAGTCGTATGCAACGCTTATTGTATTAATAAGGGCATGCCATTGTTGCAGTACGTATCGTGATTGAGTCGCTTTTTTATACCTTTTCTTACTATAGACAACCTAGTAGGCAACCCTGACAGAATTTCTACTATTTTAGTTTTTCCCCTCCGTAACCCCGACAGTGTTGCTAGAACGAGACGATCCAACGAAAAAGACACTGTAACGAGCATTTATACATATATATATTTAACAAAAAATGTACCAAATTTGTGGATACTTAATATTTTAATCGTTTAAGTACATATCTTGTTAGTACAATCTCCATTATATATCATATCACTTCTTGTATACTTCCATATCATTTTGCTATGTAAAATACAGGCATATGTATTATATCACGTGAAACGAAACTGAGCCAACTCGGCCACCGGTCGGTCGGAGGTCTGTGTCATTTACAAGACAGTTCGATTGGTTTGACCACATTTTTACCATATCGACGAGAATTACATTGTACCCAAACCATATCCATGTTTTTCTATAATTATACAAAGAACAAACAGTAAGTATTTAAGGATGCTACCGTTTAGTAGTAATTTTGGAGTGTGGTCACACTAAACGTATTAAGCTGAAAGCTTTAATAGGATCACAATTAGCTTTAAAACCGCAACTGTGACATATTTTGATAAATAACGCAACTCAATGTATGCAACCTACAGTTTATACCGCGCATCCACTGAAAGGGCCTAAGTTTTAGTGGAAATGTATTGTTATATAGAACGACCTCTCCGATTTTTCAAAAACATGTATGCCACATGTCTAGTGTGGCCGTAGATAAAATGGATTCGTTAACGATTTTGCGAGTAGTATTTAGATGTAGCCAAAATGATATCGAGCATGTTATCTATATGCATGTTTGTGTAAGTTAAACATTTATCGAGTTATCAAAAATGTATCGTTAGATGATGAAAAATAATAATCGAAGTGCTTCTATGCAGAGTAGTGGCAGTTTCCTTTCCTTCACTGTTAGGTCTAAGCCAGCCGCGATTATTTTATCGATAGATTGAAGCGCGCGTACAATAAAATAAACCACTCTAAAATTGTGCGATTAATTTATCGATAGTTAATAATCGCGGCGCGCACTAGATAGTACTGTCGGACTGTAGGAACTCTTCTTAGGAACTGTAAAACATGTATCCAAAACTTTTTCACTATTACAAAAGGCAACATGACACATTTTTCGATTAGACTAATATGGCTCGCGACGATTTTTATGTCGCGTGCCGACGTATCTCGACATGTACCGTGTGTCTACTAGTAAGATGCTGCCTACCTTTTTTAGATAAGGATATATTGGAGAGACTTTTATACGATCGTTAAATAATCCTGTTGAAGCTAACTTTAAATTAAGTACTTCGGATCTAACCATATCAAGGTTTATTTTGTTTTTTCCGTCGCAACGGTGCGCAGGAGTTTTGAATTTCCAGCATATTTTAACGCTGGCAACATTCCAAAATTCCGGTGCACCCGCGACTGTTACTTAAATTCTTATTAATTTCGCTAATATAGTATATAAGAAAAAAAGCACAATCTTTATTATAATTTTAACGAAAATAGAAAATAAAAATTTACACTAATATATTGTTAATAATTTTATTTTTTGTTTATTACGTAGTACGATAGTTTTCTGTTTACTATTACGAAATTTAATACTTATTTTAATATTGGCAATTTACGACATGTACTACTTCCGCATTTATTTGTATAATTTACTGTGTTTATGATGTTTTTAGAAGTTAAACACAAATAAACATTCAACATAGTACACGATGGTTTCATTTTGCTCTTTTACACAATTTACCCAGGGGTATTATTAGGGACAATTTATCTAGGGGGAGAAGCCGGGCAAATGGCAGGAGCGGCAAAGTAGAAGGGGCGGCGCGACGTCGCTGGCGAATGTTTAAAAGTTGGTTAAACAAAGAAAGAAGCACCCTACACAAAAGTTCTCAAAACATAATATATTACTATTAGTGCAGTAATTTCTTAATTTTGTTTCGAATGTTTCCTAGGAGTTTTGAAAATTGGCAATTTTGTAGATTTTGATGTGGTCTTGCCTTTGCATTATACGAAAAAAAAAACGTTTGACTAGGGCTTAGAATTTTCTACAATTTATATCTAGGCAGCTATTTGTACAAAAAGTACTTTTGGCGCCAGAGCCAGAACACTGCAAAGTATACCTACCTACATGTCGATGAGCATTTAGGGGGAAAATTAAATTCCATAGCAGGTAAAGGCACTTTTACGCGCGACGTCATCGCCACAAAGTCATGGGCGAGGGCCCCTTAATGATAGAACCATATATTACATCACTGAAATTTCACATCATATTTTAGTAGATTATAAAAATAAAGTGTGGTGTGGTTACACTATCTGTGGAATAACACATGGGTAAGGCGGAAAATATAGCTGGATCGGACCCTGGATTACCGAAAAGTTGTTTATAACCGTAGAGACGTTAAAACACACACGTTCATTTAACGATTGCAACAGAATACGTATATGATTTTTATTGCTAAGTACTAGGACTTCATAACTCAGATCAAATAGTGGGTAAAAAAATTATCTTGAATGCATATTAATACGTCGTATTAGCTCCAAATGCCATTTTGTAATGTGCGTAGTACAACTACTCTATATTAACCCTATCTAGATGCAAACTGATTATTAAATGAAGAATTAAGTTATTTTTTGCTTAAAGCATTTTTAAGTAAATAAATAATTTTAATAAGTATGAAACTTTGATTCACACTAACATAGCGGGTGCAGGGTGGAAGACTGAAGAAAACACAAAGCTGCCCATATAAACCTTTATTTAGTTAACAGAAGCTTAATAAAAGACTTAAAACAACTTATTACTAGTCATATGGAATCTGCAACATATACACCAGACAAACATATTTTATTGTCATCAATATAGAAATTGGTATACATAGTGAATTTACTTAACATTAACACAAATAATAATGAATATTTTAGCATCGGGATGCAATGCAATTTATGCAATACAATTTGAGAACTGATTTTAGTACCACTCTCACACATATGGTTGCCATTGAACTTGATAACAATAAATTGTGGTAACATTACAACATTTAACAGAATATTGTTTTATATGTGATGGGTCGACATCTGGCCACTATCTCACCTGGTGGTAAGTGATGATGCAGCCTACAATGAAGTATGTCTACCCATAATAGCAAAATAGGGTCTCATATTTGCTAAATACCTACTTAAAAATACACTATTTTTCTGAGCGCAATTCCATATTAATACTATACAATATATATTCCATTTTGCTATACTATAATGTCTTCAAAGCAAAGGCACATTTTTTCAACAAATTCACATATAAACATTTTTATCTTCAGTCACGAATTAAATAGGAACAACTATATTATAGTACTTCATTTTTATATTTCACGCATAAACTTTATATGCAAACTTCATAACATATTTTTACTCAAAGAGTATTATTATTTGTTATACCATATCAGTATCAGGCTCAGCAATCAAGGTATAATTAAATATTTTAACATATAATATCTCGGTGCGCTAGACTTTCAATGAAAGATAAGTATTTATTCTATGTTATCTGATAGTTACATTGTTTAGAATTGAATGAGATTATCAAACATTTTTCTCAAGGACATTATTGTGCAAAAAAAATGAAATTGCAAGAACTTTCTGGCTGTCATGGTTGGGCATAGTTCTTAATAGTTGACATATGCCGATAAGGTCTGGTAGAAACATATTAATCTATCATCTATCCCCAACCATGGCAAACAAAATGTTAATATTATTGAACTTGTGAATATTTAGATGCATAACTCCTGAGGACTTTTCCGTAATTAACTTATTACGATTTGAAATAAGGTTAAACACATACAGACGCACAAACTATATCTTAAAACACTTGGTTAGTTTTCACAGGTGGTAATAAGGTCATAAAGAATTCTATAATTAGTAGAAAATAAACGTAAAAAGAATTAATTAATCATTGTTCTTAAAAACATTAATGTTTTAAGTTATTTGGACAAACATTTTGGTCACAATGTAATACAAAATATAATAATTATTAGTCTTTTATATAGAAAACAATGGTTCTCATATAATTGCATAAAGCCTACCTACATTAATTTGTTTCAATATCATAACACATTGTAATAAGTTTCATTATAGCATATTACACAGATTTGGAGATAGAACATAAAGGTTTCTTGTTATGAACCTTTCACTTTTTTTTGTATAGAAGATGATAATATTATTGACAGTAAGTAATTCTAGTACGGAGTCTGGAAATGTGCCCGGTATATGGCAATAGGCTCACCCCTATTACATGGGACTCATAACATAAATAGTAAAAAGTGGGTGTTACATCATACAGCGGCAGTAAGTACCATGGGCCTACCCCTGTGGAGATAAAAGGTGTGATGTTATGTTATATTAACAAGTTTCATTTTCAGATCCATCCCTAAGGCTAACATATCATGTGAAAGCTCTTTATAGAAGGTGGTAATTAAGCAGAATGTGACATAACCATGCAAAAGATGGTAATATTATGTAGGAAACATTACTTTCACTTTATTTTGTTGCACAGAACACAGCTCTGTCGTCTTTTCATCGACTTCAAAAAAAGGAGGAGATACTTACTATGTTCGGCTGATAGGGTATACTCCCGAGATGGTCCCATTTCTATGAGGTCAGGATCTGATGATAGGATCCGAGGGAAACCGAGGGGAACTTTCAAAAATTCTAAGGGCGAGTAATATGTCTATTATGTTTTTCAATTAGGATTTTCAAACACTACAATTTGATAAGGGTCTGGAGTCGACCTGATGATGGAACCAACAGACAGTTGAAAGAACTTCTCAACGGTTTATATTAAATACCTTGTGTTTGGGCTTGATTAATTTGTATTGATGAGGATTTTACACCTCATATCACAATGATATAACTTAATGGCCACAAAATTGTAAATTAGGTATCTATCAAGGTTTTAATGAATAATTTTGTATAGAACTTATGGTGCTGACTTCTAACCTCAGTGGGTGGGTAACCTATGTTTATACCTGTGTTTACTAGTTTTTGGTTTTTTGAAGTCAGTTTTTAAATGCAGTTTTTATAATTTTTTCCATACTAGGGTTACAGATATACAAAATATTATAATTCTTTCAAAAACAAATAAAGTTTAAGCTATTTTAATAAATGCATACTATCACAGGCATCATACAAAATGATTCCGTACCTTAGAAAACCTTTATTTTCTATCACTAAACCATACATTCAAAATTAATTTAACCTAAATACACCAACCTCATACTTTGACACTGGAGTTTGTATTACTATCTATTCCATTCACTGCTGGCTGGACATCTGTCCGAGGTCGTCGGAACAGCAGGACATGAGGCTCGGGGTTGTGGACCATGAAGTGTAGCCAGCCAGGACTCTGTTGCACTCCCAGGTTGCGCCATTCTGTCTCCGTCATGAGATGGGACTTGGGTACCAGGCGGGCTATATCCGGAGGCAGGATGACATGCCTGGAATTAGCAAAGACTAGTATAAGATTGATATTTCTTTAGAGTGGGTTGTGTTATGTGGATTAACATGCACAAGACTTAAATCTTTCTTTAAGTACCAACATTCCATTTTGTACAATGACATCATTGATTGTATTACCTACTTGTATTTAAAATAAGTGATAGTCTATCTATAAATTTGTTAATAAAAAATATGTGATGATGATGCTCAATGATGAATATCTTAGAAATTGTGTAAATAAACATTGAAAGGTTGGAAATTTAACACGAAAACTGCAACCATATTGTGCAACGTAACACTTCCTAGGATGACGTAAACCATCATGAGCGACAACAAAAATGTTCATTTATTATAGCTAAGGGTTTATTTACGCCATAAATACAATAAAAATAAGAAATGATCACATAAAACTTACCTATATTCATAGACGTCATCAGTGTATCTTTGCGAGTACTGAATTTGATCCACAGGCATGTTGCAATTAATTAATTATCACCTCTGTCTGTTCAATGAAATCACGAGCAAAAACAAATTCACTAAAACCGAAAAGAACACTGATAATTTCGAATATTCGGAATATTCCAGCAAGGCACCACCGATTTTGTAACGCAGAAAAATTCAATTTATTGACAATTGACAATGACGTTAACTTGACGTTTGGTGTCCGATGCATTCAGAACAATGGGATGGTCCAACGTCAACACGTGGTATTTTAGTTCTGTTTTTATGATTTCTTATTTAGACTTATGGTTTCTTCATGAAATCTTACACGCAATAATCATAATGCTTATTTTTTTGTTTATTTGCTTTTGGTACAGTCAGTCATAGTCATTTTTAACATTACTGTTTCTTTTATTTATGGAGATATAAAATAATATAGACGATTTGAACGTGGTTTCCCGCGCGAACGATACAACGTTCCGTTTCCTCAAAAATTTTTCAACGTTGATCTAGGTAATAAAAAAGGTATTGTAGCATAATCTCACTCATAATATTCGTTTTGAATGACTATTAGATTATCATAAGAAGTAAAGTTAAATTACACAAAGATTTTTACAAAAATGCCTGCTGCCGATAATCTTATAACTCCGGTAATGTTTTTTTTATAGCTTGTTTACTTTCAATACGTGAAGTAGGGATGTAAGTAAATCTTACACATGTATAGTATTAACTGACACATTTCTATACCTAAATAATTGGTTCGGGAACAATCTTGCGCAAGAGGGAAGGGCAGATGATAGACAGCTGATTGCATGGTTAACTATTGAAACAACCGGTGATATTATCCAATCACCGCGACCCCAGCCGCTGTAACAATTCAATAATGCGCCCCACACTTATAGGATAGCCATCAGTTTCTATTATTGTAGGTACTGTAAAATACTGTAAATGTCCCCTAAATCACTAACATTTATGTAGGCAGTAAGTTGCATTGGTGCATGATATCTTTAGAATGTCGTAATTAGTTGTGAATGGAGGAGGAGGAACGAGGAAGTTATGAAAATATTACCAATATATTGTGTACCTTTGAACATTAGGTACCTACTTTCCAAATTAATTATTGGAACAGGCGATATATACGGACAGACAAATTATTTATTAATTTAGAATGTTTATAATTTAAAACTCTTTACACAGGATATACACTGATAAGGTGGTGTCTATATCAACATCTAGTACTTGGAAAAATCCCAAATTATTCTACAATGATGGTTACCCTAGAGCCACTACTAGGGAGTTATGGAAATAGTGCTGCAGTCAAAGCTAGTTCTCAATTCAGTCAGGAGGTCCCAGATACAGTGACTTATCGGTGCCATGTCGGAGATCACACTCGATTTCCTGCAGGGTTTGCTCAAAGATGAATACCCTGATGTCAGCATTCAGCAGTTTGAGGTATGTCTGGTGCAGATCAAGCAGGAAATTGGTAGTGCAGTGTTGGATTTCTATACCACATCCTGTTTACATAATAACTTATTGTTGATGTCCTCAATGATTTTGTTCTTAGGGCGCTCCAGGCTCCAAACGAGGTGATAACTACACTTCAATGGTTTACCGAATCACCTTGAGTGGCATCCGAAGACACGTTGAACCTGATGGCTCCAGCGAAAGTGATGAGCCTTGGGAAAGTTCTATCATCTACAAATGTCTCCCAGAGAGCATCTTGCGAAGAGAGGCTTTCAAAAGCGATGAGCTGTTCTGCAATGAAGTCGCGTTTTACACTAAAATCTGGCCAGCTTTAGTCGACTTTCAGAAACAGTGGAATGTTCCCAACCCATTCAAGGCGATCCCGAAATGTTACTTGGCCCAAAATGATTGTGTTGTGCTGAAGGACCTGAAGAGGGAAGGGTATGTGATGCCGGATAGGCACCAAGGTCTCACTATAGAGCAATGCTACTTCGTGTTGAAGCATTTGTCGCAGTTCCACGCATTGTCGCTAGCTATGAAGTGCCACAACCCTGAAGCTTTCTACGAGTTGTTGAATATTAAGGACGGCATTACTGAAGGTGATTTTTATAAGTAGTATAGTATTCCATCCCTTTGCACTTTGTACCCTTAAAGTCTATTTATTTTAAAACACGAATATCTGCTTTGGTGTTTATTAAAAATTGCTTTCCAGTATTCTACGTCGAAGAAAACGTGGATTACTACAGAAATTATTACATGGAAGCTACAAGGAACGCCATAGCTATGGTAGAGCAGGAGTTATCTGATGCGGAAGACAGAGACCACTATTTGGAGAAGTTTAAAAGCTTCTGTAGTGAGGAAACCTTCTTCCATACCATGGTGGAGCTGGTTACTCCTAAGGAACCCTTAGCTGTCATTGGACATGGAGACTGTTGGACCAATAACTTCTTGTTTAAATACGTAGATGGTGATATAGCTGATGTAAGTCTATTTGCTAACCTAGACAAACTTAAATTCGCTAGACAAATTTATTTTCTTCTATAAGAAAAATTCTTTCCAGATGTATATCGTGGACTTCCAGCTGGTCCGCTACGCGTCTCCAGCTCTCGACCTGGTGTACATTATGTACTTGTGTTTGGATCGCCAGCAGCGAGCTGAACACCTTTCCTCACTCCTGGAGTACTACACTGATGAACTGCATCGAAGGCTAGTGATGATGAGCGATGAGGATTCTGTATTTAATACCAGCTTGAATAGGGATGCTTTGTTTGAATTGTAAGTAATTGTTGACCAAGTAAAGGAGGACATTAAAATTTTGGGGTACCACTACAAAATTAATTTGATCTGCTATAACATGGTTGGAATTTGTCCTAGATTACAAGAGGAATTCAAACGAGCTGGCCGGTTTGGTCTCGGCATTGCAGTGGACATGTATCCCATCATGACATGCGATAGTGATGAGGCGCCTAACTTGTATCAACATGAGGTAACTAATAGCTGTATAATATATTCATAACCTCCTTTTTTTAGGTGGGAAATTCGTCCAATGACTTCACCCGCTCGGGAAGGTCAGGTAGTCGAGTGGGTAGTAGGTATAATGAATCCATGAATACAATCTTCGGTTCAGTCAGTGCATTGTAGAAATGCATGTTATAAAATATAACACCCACAGTTGATAGTTCAGTTTTACGATACCCTAACTATTAAAAATTTTTGGATGAAAAACGAAAATCTGAAAAATATTCCGCCCCACCTGGGAATTGACACCGAATTTTGTTTTAAGTAACATAATTTTATTGTTGATTTTCATTTCAATTTCTCTGCAAGCACTTGAAAACGCAACAACGTTATACACCTGGGAGCTTAGTCTTGAATCCAATTACGATCAATCGACATTGGTATTGTAAAATTTCGTACTCTTGAGTTGCAACACTAGCGCCCATCGCATCCATATTTATATTGCGCTTTTATATTGCTTACTCTAAATGCTATTTTAACAGCTACGATAGGGGTTGTATAGTCATATAGTGTTGACATTGAATAATTATTAAGATTTTATTGGATTGAAATTGTATTGACATTGATGTAATGGACATCATGATTTGTTTGCCTTTCCCAAGGAAGCCATTACTATCCGTTTCTATGTCATTAGATTATATATCATTAATTAATTCAATGTTTATTGTTTTGATAACTTATGATGTTTGTTGAAAGATCACAAATTAGATAATGTTATTGATTAAGATAACTAATGAAGGAACATGGGTCGTGGTACTTATCTACCCCTTCCAATAACGACTCTGCATATAAATAGTTACCACAGCTCTTTTCCAGAGACAGTTCAGAAAAGACAGCCAGTAAAGATAGTTAACCTATATTAATTACTTTAAGATATAACGTTCGTTGTTTTAGTAAAAAGTGTACAGAAGCTTAAATTGTCTCATTCAAAGTGTCTCCCACACACCTATCTACAACGCCACCGCTCGGGCCATTACATTGAGATTGGTTTCAAAAGTAAGCACCCTGAACTAGGTTTGAATACTTTGAATGGAAACTACTGTTTTTTTATCACAAAATGGAGCTAGTGTAAACCTCTCGTCGTTTCGTCCAATAGGGAGTCTTTTATTGTTATTGAGTCTATAAATGTTGTAAATATTTATGTAGTTAAATATATTGAATAATAGGTATTTAAACTGTCAAACACCAAGCGGTCACCGGTGACCGCGACCTATTGTTCTTTAATTGTGTCTATAAAACCGGTACTCGACGAGTTAAATTGAATTAAATAGGGAGTTAGATGAATTGGACGTTCAATTTATGATAGCTACAGTGATTGGAAAAAAAATGATCCAACATTTGTATACTGTGGTGAGCAAAAAAACAGTGGCGCACGTTAAAAGAATTGTATTCCTTTTCCTCAATCAGGACAGCGAGTCATCATCAACATCGCGTGTCCAGCCAGTACAGACTAACAGTGCAGCTTGCAGCCGAAAGATGACAGAGCTGGTCATCGAGCTGGTGGACGCTGGAATCCTTTGATCATCAGGAGTACCAGGATATAAGCATGATACCAGAAATGGAATATAATCAAAGGGTTTTTAAAAGACTGTAGGAATAGTTGCATCTTTTTTATATGTATATGGATGGCTAAGTTGTATTGTGGATTGGTGTTTAACAAAAATCATGGAAAGGAGTTCCTTTGTTCTGTATTTATTTACTAGTTTTTACCCGAGGCTTCGCTCGCGTCACAAATGGAAAAAAAGAGTCTGTGACATAATAAAATACCAATACACACAGCGCCATCTATACCAATACTTTTGTTTTCCCTCGGGAATAACAATTTTTTCCGGGATAAAAAGTACCCTATTATTTATTCCGGACTTCTAATTTTACGTCTGCAAAAATTCAAAGCAATCGATTTAGTAGTTAAGGCGTGAAAGCGGAACAAACAAACAAACTCTCTTTCCAATTTATAATATTAGTAAGGATTTGTCTTCTTCTAGATTTAGATACACATGGTGTGTTTTTTTAATTCTTTGCATCAAGCTTCCTTGTGCGTACTGTAAGGAATTGAATTCTTTGCCAGTGTCTGTATTTCCTGAATGGTATAATCTGGGTGTCTTTAAGGCCCGAATGAATAGGTTGCTTATGGGACGACGTGCTCCATCGTAGATCGCATCATCGCTTACCACCAGGCGAGATAGTGGTCAAACGTTGGGCCATCAAATATACATAAAAGTAACTTTTTTTGGATTCCTCCATGATTTTATAGTAAGGGTAAAATAAAATAACAATGTTTATGTCGTAGGTATGTCAATTTATTGTATATCGTTTAGTTTAAACACGTACAATAAAATATTGGGTTAAAGCCTTACAATTAATTTACATTATACTTTGTGACGACGTGTCCCTTTGATCAAGATCTATTGGGTATAATTATAAAAATCAGATCATTTTGCCATCTGCGCATCTTTGAATTAAAAAAATGTCTATTATACTTATATATCTAATTCTATATAATATTTATATTAGTATACTATATAAAATAATTCAATAAAAAAATGACTTCGATAAATGGGATGCTTCCGGTGCAATTTGTGGAAATTTTCAATATTTTTTTTTTAATTACTAAGTTAACATACACACTGGGAATTTTATTAAGATTATTTTTCCAAAAACTGTTTAGTATTCTCCTATATGATTGGAAGCATGCTGCCGGACAGTGCTATCTCTTTTACACTTACTGCGACTGAGTAAGTTGGCTAAGGATAGCGATAACTTTAATAAAAAAATAAAATATACGCTTTACAATCTTTCAAGAAAGAATACCAAACAGTTTTAAGAAAATTATAATTTCGTTTATTATTGCGAATTTCCAAAAATTGTTATCACGGTGATGCCCTTACATTAATTTAATAAAAATGGTAATTTAAATAAAATACCCGTACTATCTCGTGGCACATTCATTGAATTTTTATTTTTTATTAAATTAAATAAAACATATTATTATAATAATTACGTACGGGTTCGTTACGTATATGACAACGTTCTTTGTAAACAGATCTAGTAATAAAACTTATAATAAAATAAAATAATCAGTCATTGAAAACTTCAGATTTTGTAACAGTTGAGATTCTAGCGCCTAATACAATCTGAAGTTTCCAATAATTACCTGTTTATTTAAAGATTAATATTTTTTTGTATTTTATTTAAATTAATACTAACAAGTCTGATCAGAAGACAAGGCACTCGATCCTCCCTAACATTTACATTACCGCGACGAAACTAAAAATTTAAAAATATGTTAAAGAATCATACATGCAATTAAATTACAACCTTTTTTTTAGTTTTTCACCAGTTAACACATGTCTCGCGGTAATGATTTGGTCCTGACTTTTTGTCTTTCAATACTTTAATTCGAATTAGCACCAGAACACAAAGATGAGCTGTCAGAGCCATTACTGACAGATCCTCTAAGGTTAGCAACAGCAGCACTTATTTGACGCTTGCCCGCAAGACTTGTTGTGTGGTCAAGCCTACCTTACCTTTGGAAGCCTGTGTGGGCCTCATGAAGCCCGAGGTCGGCCTGCTGTTCACATTCTTCAGAGGAGGCCTAGCAGCACCTACTGAACTGCCACTGGAAGAAGACCTGGACGCTGGCATCCTTGATACAGGCTTCGGTACAGGCTTAGGTGTGGGCTTAACAGGTGCTGGCGGCACTCTCTTAACCGTCGATACTGATGTAGAACTATTTAGAGAACTCCTAGAGCTTCTTAACGACGCTCTAGACGTAGACCTTTCCACTCTTAAAGAACTAGCCCGTTTTGGAATCACACGTTTGGGGTCAATGGGTGTCCGAGGGGGCGTCCTCGTCTCTTTGGTAGCTATCTTCTTTGGTTGTCCCAATTTGGGAACTGGGGACTTGGAGATTTTCGGCACAGGTGACTCACACTCCACATTGCAACCCGACGAAGCACCCTGGGAGGCACTCTCTGAATTCAGACTCTGGGTTTCTTCAAAGCCTTCATCATTTAATTCGTGCTCACTTTTGACCTTCGACATTCTAGGAGAGGTCGTCCTTTCTGGAACCTTCTCTGGAGCCTTTTCAGTTCGGGTATTGAGAGACTTTCTGTATCCGTCTCTCGACCAGACTCCAGTAGGGTTGTCAGCAGGAGACTTTAGTTCTCTAATCGCTTTCTGCACGTCCTCCTGGTTTATAGAAGTCTGCCGCCTCATCCGTAAGTATGGTTTTGTTTCTTTGGTCGTTTTATCTGTGCTTTGGCTCTTTAGTCTATCCTGCCACCGTTTCAACCTGGTTTCTTTTTCATCCTTACCAGCTTCAATTGGTTTTGCTACTTCTTGTGGGGTTTCTACTTTATATGACGCCTGAACTTCTAATTTTGAAGGTCTAATTACTTGAGTTTCTGCTATAAGTTCTGGTGCTGGTGGCTCAGGTTTCTTTTCTTCCTCAGGGGAACTATTGGAATCGGTGTTCCTCTTATACCTCCTCGTTCTCCTGGCGGCAGAAAATCTGTCAAATTGACCATCACCTAAAATTTCTTGACAAAGATCTTTCATTTCGGCAGAAGCTTTGTCACTGACATTAGATCGGGTGGGTAAGGACGGTTGGAATTTTCTGCAAGGTTCTTTTTCTGGAGGAGGATTAAAGGATGAATTGAACTTCCTTTGTGCTGGTGGAGTTTCGATGTTATCTGAGTCAATTTCTACCCTGTCCGATTTTTCTATCCTCTCTTGTCTGACGGTTGTTAGTTCTCTGTCGCTAGTGACCTTTATATCGGGCAGTTTCTTTTGCTCTTCTAGTATTGATATTAACGGTTGCGGTGACTCTATCTGTTGTCGTGACCGTTGTCTTCTGAGCCTTCTCATTTCCTCGTTCTCTTCGGTTTTCCTCCAAGGCACTCTGTTGTCCTTTTTCTGAGGTTGTACATCTGGAAATAAAATGACCGTTGTAAAAGTTTGTTATTTTGTCTTTTTTATAATATTACCTATAAAACAGATAAGGCACTTAAGCTTACCTTCGACAGTCTCGAGTGCCTTAACAACATCGCTGTCGGGAAGTACGGCAGGCCTCCAGTCGGCGCGGCCCTCAGGCAAGGGCTCGAGGGTTGCGCTTCGCTCGCTCTCTGTAGAACCATTAGAAGATTAATAAATAACATAGGTTAATATTATTATTAAGCAACAGAAGGGATGAAAGTGGGACATTTAAAGTGTTGGAGTGTTGTTGTACATACCGGAGTCGTTTTCCAAGGAGCGCTTGTCGTTATGGAGGCGCATGGTGCGCGTGCGCGGGCGCGCGTCCTCCTGGCTGCTCGCGCGCAGCCACGACTCGATCTTCTGCCGCCACTCCCTGCACACAGATAATATACAATGATTATATTAACCAAAATCACTGAAAATCGAATTAATTGGCACATAAATGCTAAAGTTAAGCATAGAATTATGGTATAACGATATTAAAAGTGGCTACTATAAAATGTAAGGGTAAAACAATCATAATTAATATGTAATAAATACATACTTGGGCTTAGCGGGCGCTGTGTCAGGCGAGGCAGGTGCAGGCGAGGCAGGCGCAGGCGGGGGGGGGTGGGGGGGGCGTGCGGCGCGCGCGGCGAGGGAGGCCGCTCGCGCGCACTCTCGGGGATCTCCAGGCGGGCGCGGGCAGCGCCGCGGCGAGACCAGGAACGATCTGAACAAAGAAATAAGATAATTAATAAAATTGGACCTCAGCATAACTTCATCATAGTTTAGCTAGGTTATTATCTTACCGAGACTGCCCCAAGCACTTCTCTCACGTAGATCATTGGCAGCTGGTGACGAATGACGGAGGAACTCCAGTAAACCTTCCTCATCATCACCAGGACTAGCCCTGCTTCTGCGACGTAAGCTACCGGTCGGAGTTACATCTGTAAAAAGAAAGAGTTATTTAGTCAATGGTAAATCTTTCAGATTTAATTTTTTTATAGAAATAATTAGTTTATTGAGGTGTACTAACCAGGTGAAGGAGATGGATCATGAGGTTTCCTAAGCGATCTCCTGCCCAGTCCGTTCCTGATGTCCAGCAGTAGTGACTCCATGAGAGACTCGCACTCAGATACAGGTGTACTGCTGACACTGCTTGTTCCTGCATCGGTAGTAGAGAAAACTTGTAGTACTTTGCAAAGAAGACTGGATTCCAAAATCATATTTAATGGTAACTTAGGCAACTTAAGTGGTTTTTTTTCTGAATGCAATAGTAAAAGGTATATCTGCTTACCGGTCTTAACCCTGGCGGCAGCCATGTCCCTCGCTCGTCTTCTAGCAGCAGCTTGTTCTTCATTAGCTCTTCGCCTTTCATTGTCACTCACAGCAGACCTGAACTTGCTGCAGAACCATACGAACAACTGTAACACAAATAAAAACAAACTTTATTATCTTTTACTAAAATTTATGGGATCAAGTTATTTCATGTATATTTTAAGTTTAGCATCCCATCAAAATGGAATTTATCTTACCTTGAAACATTCCTCTAGTTTAAACGACACTGGGTCTTCACAGAAGAATTCAGCAAGTTGTTTTCTGATGCTTTCGACCTCTTCCATATCTTTGTCGAGAGCTGACACCTCTTGTTCAGCCACCTAGGAGAATATGTTTCATTAGAACCTTGGAAGATTTTCGAAATATTTCATATCATCTAAGCAGGCTATCCGAACTTCCTAAATATGATTTGGACTTTATTGCTAAACCATAGAGTTCCAAATCTATCACAAACTTTTTATAGATTTTGATTGTTATTTTTAAGTGCATATTAAACCTTTATTGAATGATCAGTAAACTGACCTGCAAGAAATCTCCCATCTGCCCCTTAATATCCTGCTGCGTGCTTGGCATCTGGATCTCTTTCTTCAAGCCTTGTATTCTGTTGGCCAGGGTCTTGATCTCGTTATGCAGCTGTTCCACAGTGGCCTTAGCAGCTTCTTCTAGCACGCGCGTGTCATCAGCGAAGTGAATCAGCTCTTTGTTCTTGCGTTCAGCTTGCTGTTTGGGGCAGAAAAATGGTTTAGTATATAAGGACCATAAGTTTTTATTCAAAAGTAATTGTAATTTATTCCAGGTCACTTCAACTGTTGTACAAAGAGTTAAGGAACATAGTTGTTACTTACCATAGCGACATAATGCATGAGCGTCATGCCAGGTTTGTTTGCCCTGATATCTGGTAGTTTCTGCAAGGAGGACAGCTTGACTCCTGCCGCGCCTCCAGCGTAACCACCAGCATTTAGAAAGTTACCCGCAATTAGCGCTATGTACAGTACCTCCTAGAAACAACGAAAATATTTTTACAATTTCATAAAAGCGATCAATTCTATTTACCATCTACCAAAACATAACTTTATATTAGAATATAGAACATTTTAATCTTTATTGTCTGTTACAAAATATTACCTGTAAAGCTCTTGAAGACATCAGGTCGTCACCAGCTACGAGAATGGCGTTGATAGCACTCTCCAAATATCCTGATGTTGACGCCCATTCTTCTTTTAGTAGCATACATTCAATTCGCAGCTTGTAGCTGTAAAAAGTAGCAACATAAATACACATTTACAATATGAAAAATATTACAAACACTCAGTCTATTTTTCACTTTTCGAAAAATATATCATAGGTCTACCGAGTGGACGTTAGAAGACCAAAAGGACCACTTACTTAGGAAGTTGAATGAGTTGTAATAAGAATTTCTCAGCAGTCCCCAACTTCGTGACGTCACCGGTGAAAGCCTTGAGCATCTCAGACTCATCTACTTCCGGCAAGATCTTAAGAAGACCACGCAGTTTCTCTGTACCGATGTCGTCATGAGCACCCTCGCGAATTAATTGAATTATGTCTTCATTAGAACTGGAATAAAGGAATAGTTTTAATATTTTATACAGTTATGAATTGAAAAATAATTACGTTCCATTATCTAAACTACGTTCGTGTCTCACCTTCTAAACTGCTTCAAGAAGATATTAACGTTAAGGCTCCTCTTGCCATCCAGAAGTGTGATCTCAGAAGATTCTTTGCGCGGTTTTCTCTCACCAGAGCTATCGCAGATGGGACTTCTTCCTAGCCTAGGTGAGGAGCCGGCAGATCCTGTTGGTTGTATCTGGAAGAAGAATAATTTTGTCAGTTTACCTAAGACCAATGGTGAGTGTAAATGGGCTGATGGCAATCTGTAATGCGATGCTAATAAATAAATAAAACAGGATAACTAAGCTCTTGCTCTTTAGCTAAAGTTATAGCCTGTTCTTCTATTCTGGAATCGTATGTTATAGTGTTAATGAAACTAACCTGTTGACAGAAGAGGCCTTCGATCTCAGTCCAGTCCAAGTCTGCCTTCGGTGAGTGTTTGTGACTCGATGCTACCAGCGACCAAATGTTGTTTTGACCAATGACCTGGAAAATGAAGTAATTATTACATGTTATACCAAACCAAGCAGAAATAATAGATTCTTATTTAGTGACTTCTAAAATATATTAAATCTTACTTTGTTGTTAGGAATTTTATTCCAATTTATAGTTTTCATCTTAGTCTTCGGTATGGGGGTCTCCTGCTGCGGCAGTTTAATGTCCACTGCTGGCGTTGGTGGTGATGGTGGGCAGTTTGGCGGTGGGACTGGTGGGGGTGGTGGACCGCCTGGGGGCGGTGGGGGTAGCGGGGCGGGAGGTGGTGGTGGTCCTGGAAAATAAAATGGAAAATAATAAGACATCGCTTCAAAATAAAATTAAAATTTACTCTATATTATTTGGTAAAATGGTAGAAAAAGCGACTCCTGGACTTTGTTGTCAAAGTCAAAATTATTGCTGGTTTTTTCGAACATTACAAGTTAGCAGAGGTCTCAGCTTACCTGCCATTGCAGGAGGAGGTGGTGGTGGCGGTGGTGATAAAGCTCGCTGTAGACTCTGTTTCCTGCCACCAGCAGAGATATCACGGTGTTGGCAGGTACAGCCCACCTTTGCCTGAAGAAGAAAAGAACATTTATGATTTTACGAAAAAATATGGTAGTAAACAAACTGGGACTGGTAAAACCATAAAAAATGTTCATCGGCTTATGAAAATTCAATGTCCTATCATCGTTAATACAAACAATGAAAGAAATATCATTAGAACAGTGGGACAGAATTAAATTTTCACTACAAATACTAACCTGAACACTTGGTGCTCTGAGCAGCTTAGCAGCATCTTCCCTGGTCTCCAAGAGTGTGGCTCGGTGGACAAGCGTCTCTGCAGTGTCCCACACAATGTCACTCACTGGCTCCTTGGGGTCTATCCTCAGGAGATGCTGTAGTATGCTCAGGAATGGGATCTCTTGTGGAGTATCCGCTACCTGAAAGAGTATTGGAAATTGAGTCTCTTTTGCTATTATTTCAGTTGTTAATAGATTGATCTATACGTTGATTTGGTGAAAAATATAATTACCTGTTTTAGTATCGCGTAGAAAACATCCAAATGCGAGTTGAGGTTGATACCTCCAGGACCTTGGGCCTCATCACTTTCCCTCTGTTCCTCAAACACGTCCAGCTGCACGCCCAAGTCGGGGTGACTGGCTGCCTCATGTCTGCAAGAGAAAGATCATGTTGAGGATACTGACAATTAAATCTTATTACTACGTTGTTATTCTCTTACAGCTTAGTCGACATTAGAAGCTAGGAACAAAAAATTAGCACCTTGCAAAGTTTTAATTAAGTGTCACTCAAAAACAAACTTAACAGAATCTTAGCAATACTTTCGTTTTCCTTCCACAGTTTTGGTCAACAATACTCAACAGCTACAACAATAGTTTGAGTGGTTTACACAGTATGACGCAATCCTTCGATAATTTAATCAATAGCCTACACGCTGAGATCAAGCAGTTCTCACGGATCGAGTGCAAAAATATGGTTTTGAGGGAAAGTATAGAAACTTTAGCTTGAGGCAATTTAATGTGGAGTTTGAGATCATGCAAGTGGCTCTTAGCAGTTACGCTCTAAGCTTAAGAGACGTAATCCACTTTGGGTTTCGAGGTTTAGTGGAAAGCAAAAGGTTTTGGATAGTAAATAAGAACTCAAAATGCTTTAGAGTAGGTAAATAAATAAGCAAGTCGAAATTTAACTACATATTTAAAGTAAATGCTCTTTAATGTACATAAGTTACAACACTAATAAATATAAGTAAACCTTAGGCGAGGTTTACTGCCAATTTTAATTGTGTAAGGTATCTTTACATTTCCATGATTCTTTGTCATTGTGAACCCCTGAACGGTTTGCTGAGTAGCTTTGCTTCGAACCCTAATCAAAACATAAATTAAAAATGTTTCCCTGCCTACTTGTTCAAGAAAATATGACATGCATGATGACACACTGTTAAAAATAAATATATCTAAGTTACTAACTTAGCTGAATCAGCTAAGTATAATCATGAACCGGTTAACTTAGTTTAGTCACTTATTCGTTGCTAATATTTTAACGAGTGGTATTATACAGCGCCATATTTGGACCGGACTGTCGACCAAAAGATGCGCCTACGCACACTCAAAGTTCGGTTTTTCAACTAAGCACCTACGTTGTGGTTTTGGTGATACTTTTTGTGTGAGGGTTCTTTCAGGCCTAAGTTGTTTGGATTAAAATGACATTCTAGGTTATATGACAATGTAGGTATGTAATTATTTCAAGAAAACTTTAAAACAAAAATAAAAGGAAAATTTGGTGGTGTATTTTCTAGTGTATAATAAAGTTTATGTTGGCTTTAAAATATTATCGCATTTTTAAGCTATAATGGCTTTGTCTTGGTATAAACTCTTACTGTTATCTTTCTATTTATGTCTACTACCTATATTTACTTCACATAAATATTTATTTTCTTTTTTATTTGTAACTTTAGACTACCAGTCCCTTATATCGATAATTATGTAAACAGTCAAGTCAAGTCTACATATTTATTAATTAATCCTTAATTAGGCACTTTTGAAACGTCAATAATTGTGTTGTCCGTCCGTCCGTATGTCTGTCAGTGAAGCTAGGGGCTCGTTCCAAAGTGTAGTTTCAAATGGAGAAGTACGACCAAGAAACTCCATCGTTACTATTTTACTTACTATTTTATTTTATAGTTTATTTAAACACAGTGTCTCACTGTGTCGATTCACTAAATCGAACTCGATTGCAAAGAGTTTTTGCCCTCCTATATAGCCTGTGATTAATTTAACGATAGCTAAGGACATGTTCGTAGTTTTTGTGCTAATTACAGAACGTTTGCGTGTAATAAAATTTAAATATAATGTAGGTAGTAGATATTTATGAGTAATGGAAGTTTTACTTGTCAAATAGAGTTCTATGATTTTTTTTAAGGGGGGAAAATCATCGAATGACTCAGACTCTTACTGACTAAAAACCACCTCGTTCCTTCTCCTGCACTTTGAGCTGGAGCCCCGGTAACCCGTTAGGTTCTCCGCGACTAGAGTTTTATGTATAGGATTGCAATTGCCTATGTAGGTAATTTGAAGAGGTTTATAGTCTTCTCGAATTATCACTGAACTATGTAAATGTCTATACAAAATCTATTAGTGTAGGTAAACTCTTTGTCTAGTATTATACTTCCAGACGACGGATCAAATAAGTATCTACCTATTTAACAAATGAATGCGCTATAATATTCTGCTTGACCCAGTCGGACTTGACATCTACGAGCCATACTCGACAGTAGCAAGATCTGAGTTATCATTAAGCATTTGATACTGACATATTGAGAAATTAATAATTAATTTATTCACCGAGTAATCGAACTCAAGACTTCATTCTCATATATTTTGGTACAGTATACCTAATCCCCAAGCAATAAACTAATAAATAAACAAATGACAGTCGTTCACAATTTATCACATAGCTCGACAAATTAAACAAATTGCTTAATTTAAAAACATAACAACAAAACACAATAAATAACTATAAGTCTATAATACTACAAACTAAATATAAATAACGTTAATAAAAAACGAAAACGTATAGGTACAACCGTTTTTTGTTATAGCTATAAAATTAAGAAGTTCGATCAAGCATGGCGGACAAAAACATTTGTCGATAGTGTTATTATAAGATAGAGGTATTGATCGGGTTTTATTTGTTTTCAATAATATTCAGTTTAAGATACTAAAGTTTAACTATGTATGTAACTAGCTGTTGATATGATGATGAATATTATTCCTGTTTTATCCCATGGGAGCATTTAATTGGAATAAAAAGTCCTATCACCTAAGTCAGCCCATACCCTGCCTGTATACCAAATATTATTAAAATATCGTTCAGTAATTTCAGTGTGGTTCACGGACAAAAATCCAAACAAAGAAATCTTCATATTTATAATATTAGTGTAATTATTAATAAATAAGTACGATTATTAAATAAACAAATAATTAATTATTAATCTGAAAACGAAAGCAAATTCCAAGGAAAACCGGAATAAAGGTAAATGTGTATCTGTATTGTAGGTATCAAGTATACCTATATTTTATCACAACCGGGTATATGACTATTCCTTTTAAAAATCTTTCCCCAAATAAGATTTTGGTCTTATTTATATTTTCATTTCATAAAAAACCCTAACTAATAAATGCCTAAGTATAAGGTTTAAAAAATATACTAGTTGAGCTACAGTATTCTTAAATTATACTACAAAGTTCCTGTTATTCAAATGAACAAGTTAAGCACACAAAGCCGCGGCCTTAAGCTAGTCAGATTACATACAACTTTACATATAAGACCAAGTTACCTATATACGGCAGAATATAATTTCTAGTTTGACTTCATACATAAATATATAACATAGGAGATTTATACGTTTTGCACACTGCTCCTTCGAGATTAATAATATGTTAATATTATTATTTATTATTATGTATTGTAGCTCCTTGTATGTGTATTATTATAACCATTATGTATCCTTTGTGGGAAGGTTCATAATGAGATAACGGTACTTAAATCCTTAAAGGGATTTTATAGTTTTGTTTAAGTAGGTGACTTTACTTTGTTACTTTGTTACTTCCAAGGAAATGAATTGATAAGTTGATAGTTATATTTAGTAGGTTTTTTAATGTGAACAAGTGATATTTTCTTCCTTTCAAGGTAAATGTGTGTTTGTATTGTAACTTTCGTGAGACATACTAAATAAATTATTATGTTTTCGGCTTACTCACGTAATAATTTGACGAGGACCTCGACTAGTTTCAAGCCATGCTAGAGGCTCATATTCATGAACACCAATTCGCGACCCGCGACGCGGCGACTGTCGCGCTGCTACTAGTCCAGTTCCTCGTCAAACTACTACGTGAGTAAGCCGAAAACATAATAATTTAAATGTGTGTTGTTTATGAATGAACTAAGTATTTAAACAGAATATTGACAGTGCTTACCTTAAATTATTTAATGTCGGCAGAAGACCCAGGCCTGTAAAAATAAATACACACATTAGTTGTCTGGATTTTTTAATTAAATAACTCACAAGAATCGGGCTTAACTTTGATATAGGGGATTAATTATTGGTTATAGGTACCTGAATGTTTTTTTAGTCAAATATATCTACTGGCACTTGAATGATCCGGGTAACGGAACACTGTTTTAATTAAATAAGCTACTGTTGCAAAACTGAAATCTATTGTCGTTTCAGTTGTACATTATTAATCTGTCAAACACCAAGCGGTCACCGGTGACCGCGACCTATTGTTCTTTAATTGTGTCTATAAAACCGGTACTCGACGAGTTAAATAACACATTCCCTAAAATTAACCAGCTTGAAAACTTACCAATAAACTCATTCCTGACGCGGATCCTGTCAGGTAGCCGTGGTGCTGAGATGATGAGGCAGTTGATGAAGGCCAGCAGTGCTGTCTTGTAGTCCGTGGTGGCTGCATTCTTCAGCTCTTCCACCACCACGCTCAGCCGGTACCTCTCGCCTTTCAGAGACTGAAACAACATAATTTTGTAAATGGCTTGATTTTTATGTCGATTTCTTTTGTGAAAAAGTAATGATGAAAGATGTGGGGAGGTTATTCTGGTTTTGGAGTTTAATGTACATGAGTCCTATAGATGTATAGTTGATTTAAAAGGAAAAATCTACTGAAATTTAATCTCATACAAAAGTAGTCTCTAAATATCGGAAACAAGGTCTAAAATGGAGTAAATGGCGAGCGGTCACCAGTGGCCGCTTGGGGAATGAAAAACCTTTTAAAGAAAATGTTTTACAATAGTTTCTATTAATAATAGGGTAATTTTAGCTCGTAGCAATAATGACCTCAAGAGATGTAATCAGAACGTAAATTACATTTGATATGTCATTGCGCCACGTGTTGAGATCAAGAACTAAATACTTATGAGTAATACAGTAATATGCAAATATAGTTAAGAGATATCGATCGGTTACTTAATATGGTCATTGGCCACAATACATTGTTTTTTACCTCAAATTATTATTCATTGTGTTTACACAGACTTTATTGTCAGGAAGTGTTAATATTGTGCTTGTAAGTAAATTGTTTTTTTGTTGTTTAAGATATTTTTTCGTGTAAGTCGTTTATGGTATGAGCAAATTAAATTAAACTTCAATATTTCTTTTATAAAAAGTTGTCTGTTTTTAAATCTGTATGCTCGATATAGACAAAGTGTATGACAATTTTTTTAAAGAACCAAAATTATTTTAAAAGAAGACATTCAAGATTAGTATATTCTTTTAGCCTATTTTTTGCCTAACCTAGTTTTTTAGCCTTGTAATGGTAATATAGAGGTAGGAGCTATTTTGCCTTCAATCCTTGAGTATAAACCTTGTGTTAAGTTTAACTATTGACATAGTGGACTCACCTTATATCTCTCTAGGGTGTCGACTGCTCTGGCGTACCCGTCAGCATTGTACACGCACAGAGCTGATAGTAGCTCGAACACCTGTGGATATGACCATGAATTAGCAATGTAATTTTAATTAAATTTTGGAAGCCTAACACGTTTTCTTTTGTCTTGAAAATTCAAAAGTAATAAAGGACTTATCCTTAAAGTAAATAAGTGAATTTCGTTTTCGTTGGACTTCAAAAAACTTCTGTATTGTTTGATTAGCAGAAAAAGAATTAATTTGTTTCTGACTCTGGTACCTACTTAAGACAAATAGATCATAGATTCATCATTCATTGAAATATCTGTTCTAAATTAATTAAAAAAATACTGAAAGCTCAACTAGTATGTAGTTTCAGCGGCCCGCGCACGCTGCTCATGAATATGAGGGCCAGTGTGTCTTGAAAGTAATAGTAATTTTTCAATTATTTTCTGGGAGCAATAGACTATGTATTTTATTTAGAATTGTATTAGGTCTATAATAGTTGTTACCTGTTTCTTAACGGGCGCAGCGGGCGATGTGAGCGCCGCGGCGAGCTTCCCTGTGTACTCCGCATGCTCGACTATGTAGTCCAGGCCAACACGGCTCTCCATCGCCTCACTGTAATAAAGATACTGGTTAGAAAACACATCTAGAGTCTAAATAGTACTACTTATTAAGTATACAAAAATATAGTTAAAACTGTTTAGATTTCGTTCTTTGTATGTAGACTTGTCATTTTGCTCTTTGATTACAAAATGAGCGTAGAATTTTTCTCATTGCTATTGCTTGCATATCTTATTTTGGTGTTCTAAACCAAAGCGATTATACTTAAGTTCTTGTTTATTAATGTTAGCTAAGAAGTTTTTAACCGATCCACAATCAAAACCAAAAACTAAAGATCACTATAGTACCTTAACAAACTCGACACATCCCGATTTCTGAACGTCTTAAGTAATGTTGCATACTGACTTTTATTCACATTGCTACAAGAGCTACTTCTAGCTCTACCTGGCACAGGAGTTTTACACATTATGACACGACTTTTGGAGCTCCATTAGCAAAATAAAACAAACTATAGATCACTCGTGTGTGTGTCCGTCTGTCTACCACAAATTTTATCGCACAGAGATTGATATATTATTGAATAAATTACTACTAATTACTGTTTAAGCTGTTATCACTACAATGACGTCTAAGACAATGCTGTGTCCTCATGATGATGTCTATCTTATATGCTGCAAAGGGATTAAGGAATAATCCTAAGCAAATGGAAAATAATTATGAGTTAAAGGTAAATCTAGAATTTACCTAGGCATTTGGTATGCAGGGAGCGATGGACGGCTCGTTTATGGTAAATAATTAGCAGTCGTATCATGAAAGTGTGTTGTCAATACTTTAGTATTGAGTAATCGATATTATCTGATCTTTGAATCGATAGCGAGGGAACTAAGTGCACGTGTGTTTGCACATGTACATCGTGAATTTCGTTTTCGTCCTAAAGTAAAATTGTTCTGTCTCGGTAATACAATAGTTTAACTGGTGAACCATTGCAAAAAGCAGGCTACGAAAGTGCATACGAACTCAGAGTCATGTAATTCTCGCCGTGTGGCACGTGCGATGCTAATAGTGCCTACAAATTTACATAGTGCCTAGATTCTAGTGTTTCATGTGCGTATTTCCATAAAACTCTAAATTTTATTTTAGCTTTATAATCGTTTCGCCGCGGGGCGAAAACGAAATAAATTTCACGGTGTACGATCTACCTACGTATCGACTTGTTGTGTGTATGTACTATTTGATTGCTTTGGCCGAAATCGATTAGAACGACATTTTTCTATTAATTTTCATTCTGTAAAAGTTTAATAAAGGAATAATGGTCAACCATCTTTTGAATCGTATCGTTGCTTTTTAATACTTATTACCTATATTTAACTTTACTGAACAGATAAATCCAAATGACATTTTATAACTTATTCTAAATTAAAATTGCACTATTATTTCCTATAAATTTCTTTAATAGCTCAAAAGCTTTTAACACTCAATTAATCTATAAAACAAACCTGTTTACTTGCGTTTGCAATGTGACTGAGTTTTATTCTTAAGTATATCAAGATCCACGTGGTGAAACACAAAAAGAAAATGAATTCGCACGATTTGAACCTATATACAAAGTACATAGCTAGGTATAGTAGTATATATTGGTCGTAAGTATTAGGTACTGTGTGAAAACGAGTTTGCCCAAAATTATGCATATAAATAAATTAACAGCAAAATCAATAATACCAATTATAACAGGTGGTTGAGATAATAATATATGATTTATCTACTATCATTTCACACTTCATTATATATATTATTACGAATGATAGGTACCTACATACTATTTTATAAAATTAAATGACAAAAATGTGGAGAATTGTTTGCGTAATCACTACTCATTAGTATAAAACAAAGTCGCTATCCGCCGTCTGCCTGTCCCTATGTATGCTTAGATCTTTAAAACTACGCAACGGATTTTGATTCGGTTTTCTTAAATAGATAGAGTGATTTTTAAGCAAGGTTTAAATGTATTACACATGCATATTTCCCCCGTACGAAGTTGGGGCGGGTCGCTAGTATATGATAATTCCAAACTATACGTTATCAGTAAAAATCGGTTAATTTGTTTACTAAAACCTTCTACTAAGTATAAACAACACTTTTCTAAAAAGCATATCAAATCGGTTCAGCTAGTTGCGAGATAACCGCGCACAAACATACACACATACATATACAGGTCTAAACTGAGAACTCATTTTTTTTGAAGTCGGTAAATTAATTATCAGAACATACCGAACGTCAAAGCCTCTGGCATAAATATATAATTTACATACATTTCCCAGTACCCCCGCCTATGTACTTGTACATACATTGCAACCAGGGGCGTGCACAGAGATTTGAAGTAGGGTAGGCAGAAGGTATCACATGGTTAAAAATAAATTTGGTCTAGGTACATTAATCTCGGAAAATAAAACTCCCGAAACGTTTTGAGTAGGTAATTAGGTTTAGTAAGTATTTTATTAATTTGTATAAACAAATTAGGTACATAATTATTTTAAAACTATCCGTGTATAAAGTTGATCAACATAGATCTATCGGTATCTATTTTATAAATCTATTATATATCTATTATATAAATCTATTATACTATAACTAGGTACCTACTTTGGAGCGGCGAAGTACAAATGGCTACACATCAAGCTATGCGACACCAGTATAACTGACCGTTAAATGCATAGAGAAATCGTACAAAGCGAGATCAAGATAGACTGGATGTTAAAAACAATAATTAAATTGGTACACAACCAGTGCTAACAAACTATACCTATAATCGCAAATCGTAGTTTATTAAAAGAAATAATAAAATTATTACCTTTTTTGAGTTACGCCTAGCCCGGACATACGACACACGCAAAATCGCCTTTGGAAATATTTTCGTTTCTTCTTCAAACGACAATAACGACAACGCACTCATATTGAATTTATTGAACAACACAAATCACCAGCACTGAGCTCACAGCTATAATTTTACATAATTTTCGGTAAATTAACAGTTCATTTGAATTATAATTCATTACATTACAATTTATTCACTTGCACATAAAAACATAACCAAAACAAAATGGCCAAAAAAACGTAAACAATAAGTTGACCAAAATTAATATATCTATTTTCAGTCAACAAACGCTACGTTTTGTTGACTTCTTAAATTAGTCGGATAACGAAGAAGCAGTGCTTTTGCAGTTGTATAGAAATTACCAACCTAACAAAAAAAAAATCCAACATCAGCACGAAAAAACAAGCAAATTGTACCGGCTAGCATTAGTACATGCATCCGCCACCATCACACAATAGCGAGGTGGCGGCGCCACTGGCGCAATGCTCCAATATCGAAGAAAGTAGAAAGTGGTTGTAGTACTTCAATATTTTTTCAATAGATGGCGTTACCAGTTTTCCGAATTAAGTATCAATAAAATTACGAAATCTCTGTATGATGTCAGTAAATATTCATGTCGTGTATATGAGTGACACTATGTAATTGACTATGTAGGTTTACCATGATTTTGTAGGGTATGCACTGCTTATTTGCATGTATGGTGTGCACGCCACTGATTGCAACAGTATATAAAATCTCTGCATCACTTTGCATACACAAGTAGTTACCGATCGATTGCGATGTTTATCTGATAGTTAAACTATCAATTACTTATTCTATTAGTAACGGTTTGACGCTGTTAATATTACTGTTTTAATGACTGGGTAACCAATATGTAAATATGTGTGTAAGTGTATTTTTATTGGTTTTGTTTGCAACTGTGTTGATCATGCGTTAGGGTGAAGGAAGGTATATAATATAATGTTACGCATCTTTGCGACTTCATAAAGTGTTTAGTTACGATTTGGTATGTTTTAACATACAAAGTTACGAGTTCCATAGAATCTGCCTACCCCCTTGGAAGACACGCGTGAAATTATGTATGTATGTATGTATGTACAAAGTGAAATGATAAGTTGTTTAAAAATGAGATTAACTATAGATAAGTTCCACGTGATAAAGAATTATGACAATTATAAGCAATGTATTACGGTTTAAAATATATAATACGGTTTAAGACTGCACGGTTGGTGCGGTGGCTGGGCAACCGGCTGCCGTGCAACGTGTCGCGGGTTCGATTCCCGCACGGAATAACACTTTGTGTGATCCACAAGTCGTTGTTCCGGGTCTGGGTGTAATGTGTATGTGAACTTGTATGTTTATAAGCGCACCCACGACACAGGAGATAATCCTAGTGTGGCGCAAAGTTTTTTTTTAATGCATTTTTGTTAGAATTATCCCAATTGATATTGCGTTTCAAGTCAGCAATATGGCGAATTAAAATCGGTAGGTGTGCCACTTAATTGTACCTATATTTTTGTTAAGTTTTTTGTAACAAAAAATACGAGCTGAATTTACTTCAAAATAAAACAAATACCAATAGCAATTACTATTCATTATCAAAAGAACAACACGATTGGAAACAAGAAAAACTAAATAATTGATCTGTTCTTTTTTCATACATATGCTCAAAACATATTGATCGAGATATTTTTCCTTCTATTAACATTTATATAATCAAGTTATTTAAGTATTCACATTGGCCAAACCTTTTATTAAAGTTATAACTATAATTGTTATTTATAGAACTACTGAATTAATTTCTGTGTTTATTTGTACCTACATAGAATTCATTATGTTTTAAATATTTCAATATTTTGTTTTGCCGTTTAGAAGTGCCTTCCTGATCTAATTGAAATAAATGATTTTGACTTTGAAAAGGAACAAATTAATGTTTTGTAAATATTAATATCAGGCTTTTTTAATTATTCGATTGTATAAATTACTAGGTTATGACGCCCGTATTGACCAATGCCAACCCGCAATAAGCAAGCGTGGTGATTAAGGCTCAAGCCATCTCATCTTTGGTCAGCAGGGGCTAATTATAGGCTGGTGATGAGGCTTATATTATACTGAAAGGTTCATCTAATATAACTCAAAGGCGACTGATTGACGGACATAGTGATCTGTCAACGCACAGTCC